AACAAGAAAAAAGTAACAAAACAAAAAACAAATATACCAGGGATCAATTCAATTATGAACCATGCAACACATAATTGGATTAACTGGGATACACTATATAACTTTAGAATTTCTTTTAATAGGGATTAGTAGAGCCTTGGCAAATTAGTCAAAGATATATCAATAAATTTCTTTTGACAATAAGCTGCATGGTAAGGGCAACCTTTAATAAGTTTAGAGAATAGATAGTTATAAATTTTGTAACTTACAAAGTTGTATATATTCAAAACAATATTCAATAAACAAGGTGTAAGCTACCTGATAAAAAAAAAATTATTAAAAAAAAATTCATAATATAATTTATAAACTAGTTATAAATAAAAATAATTTTATAGTATTCAAGTATTTATATTTAAATTTATATTTAATTTAAATACATTTTTTTTTATTAAAAAATTCTAAAAACTTTTGGATATCACTGTATATATTTTAAATAAGTTAGATAAATTAAAGAAAGAGTTTTACAATAGAAATATTATTTCTAATTATTGAAGCCTTAAGATAATTGCATGCTAATTTGTTCAGAATTGATAGATAACCTGTTCTTTTTTTAGATAATTTTTTGATCTTATGTAATTCCAAAATATATATTACAGAAGAGCAGAAACTAAACCAATCTTATCTTTATACAATGCATTTAAAAGTTAAAATTTATATGTAATTTTCTTTTAAAAACTCATCTTAAAATTTTGTCATATAATGTGTTACAGAAAAAAATTAACAGAAAATTAGAAAGGTAAAGTTATTATAGTAAAAAAGCTTGACCATACTTATACTGAGATTTATTTGTAGATTGTTACTATATGCAAATAGTTTATTAAAAATTATTATTAAATAAGTACAAAAATCTAATAATATAGATCAATTTAAAAATATGTAAAACATCCAATACTTCTTTCATTTTCTGTTTATATCTTATATGAATATTTTATACTTGTACTAATTATGAAAAATAATTAGATAAATTCATATAAAATAAATTATTTCTTGTCTTGTAGCTCAATAATATTGAAATAAAATTATGTCAGCTCAATAATTCTCCAGTCCTTTTACAGATATAATAATAATTTAATAATATCAATGCATTGATATAAAAAAATATAAATCTTTGCAAGGAAGTATTCAATTAACCCTATATCTGCCTTAAAAAGCAAATGATTGATCCTATTTTTCAATCCTTAACCTACAGAGGGGGGACGAAAGTTTCCAAACAGTTTTTTAAACCCAATTTATTCATGTTTTTATAATAAATAAAGCTATATTTAACATATAAATTAACTACACATTAGATTGACATTAATTATTAATAAATATAAAGTTATATATAAGGTTATGTGCAAAGTATATTAAAGTATATTTTATATAATCAACCTTTATAAATTAAGTTGCGATATGATTACTAAAATTCTTCAAAATTTTTTTTTCCTATTTTAATGTTATATATATTAGGACCACTTGTACCATTGTCTAAAATGGCAATTGGCATTTTTCATATAAAGGTTTTTTACAGATATGTTATACCAACTATGAAGCATATGTTTTCTAAGGGTAACAGTTCTAAGGTAATAGTTCTAAGAGTAATGGTTTCAAAGATAATAGCTGGTTTCAAGAAGATAATGCTTGTTCTCACACATCAAAAGTCACAACTGAATTTTGTACAGAAAAAGGTTTGTGAAGTTGCCTTGGCTTGCCCAGAGCTCCGATCTCAATCCAATTGAGAACTTGTGAGCTTTGGTTAAGTGGGATATTTGTTACAAAAAAAACAGCCATCTAGTCTTACTGAACTTGATAAGTGTGTTAAAAAAGCATGGAAAATGATTCCTCAAAATATGATTAAAAATTTAGTTGATAGTATGCTGAGACTTATTCAAGCAGTAATCATGGTGAAAGGTGAAATTACCAAGTATTAGTTTTTAAAAAAAAAATTGCAATGAATCCTTTTCTTTATATAGTGTTGATTGTAGATCATATTTCGATATGATACAAAGTAGCATAATTTAATAATTTACTCACTTATATCGATTAATGTATAATTATATAATTATATTCCTCCGATATAGTTAGTCTGCATGTAAATATTATTTAGCATATATTTAATCACAGTAAACTGGAATTTAAAAAACCATTTGGAAACTTTTGTCCTCCCTCTGTATATGTTACGAATATTTCACTACATTACTTGCTAAAAAAACCCCTCTAACCATATACTTTAACTTACCTTATTGCTATTGTAGAAAAATCTCGATTTTTTCCTTGAGTGGTGTCGAAATTAGCAGTGGATTCTTTGACTATTTTTATATCGGCAAGTTCTTCTTGGCATATCATACTAACTTTTTTCGCATATTCTGCTTCGAGGCCTTCGAGTCGACAGATTCGTTTATTTACTATTTAACACATCCATTGCTTGTTTGATTTCCCCACGACAGACTGTGAAAAATGCGGAAGAAAACAAGTTCACAGTGTATTAAAATCAACACAATTCGACGAGCCGTTAGAAATAAAATCCCTAGAGCCGAGTCTTGCTCAAAAATTCGGTCAGATAATGACCACAATTGCTGATGTGACTAGATCAAAATACATCATATTCAAATTGAGTCACATATACATTAAAAAAAAACTCGATATACAGTATAAACTTTATCAAGACATTTAATAAATGCGACTGTATTCTTCCTAACCTGAGATGCTACATACAATATTTGATACTTTCAAAACTTAAATTTGAAATCGATGATGCGGCAAATGTTTTTATTAGTTGGATACATAACATTCGTTGCATTCTATCATCACTAGTACGAAAAAAAAGATGAAGCTTTTCTGTCTCTCAAAGAAATTCTTTAGTAAAATGATCTCCATACAATAATACTATTTTCTAAGTAAATTTGCGAACAATGTCCGTAACATATAAAACTATATACCCTATATTAATTACTCCGAAATTTTCAACGTAGTAATTAAAACAACTTAATTAATACGAAAAACAAAGCGATTTAGAACCAAGTACCCATTGCTATCGCGTTGTTCAGCACAGACGTTACAGCCACTTCAGGTGTCATTTTAAATTTTACGACCCATTGTTCTACATTACTGAGGATAGGAGACTTATGTTTAACCGCTTGAAAGGCCTCATTATCGATTCCTATTTTTTTCTTGGGAGTTACATAACTTTGGTATCTGAAGGTATCGTATACATCATCCGGCACAATAAAACATAAAAGAATTTTTGCATTTGGATCCTTCCTATAGGCCTGCATATTTTGAACTATATTGATTAGTTCACTTTGCTTCACAGGGTGTTTTGGAGACACAGTTATTTGAAAGATACAGTCCGGAGTAAGGATTAAATCTACCGCACTGAAATTTCTTATGGTTGGTTTGATAATTATGCCTTCCTGGTTATACCCTATGAGCTGGCTTGCATATCGAATATATTTCGTAGTTGGTTTTGTTGGTATAATTAATTTACCGTAAATGACAGGATCATTCTAATAATGAAAAAGGACGTGGTTAATAGTTTCTCAATTATTATCTAAAATGATTATGCAAGATTTTACCTCGTTTTCTCCAAGTCTCCTCAATTCCAACGTTTGACCGCCGAGCTTGAATAGATGAAGTACTTGTGATTCAAACATAATCCCCCTATATCTGGAAGGGTCATCAGGATCCTTCATTTTTAGAAATATATTGCACCATCTACTATCCTCCAGTTTTTTCTGGACTTTATCAAAAATACGACCAGAAGCCCATGAGAGGGATTGTTCTTGGTAGAAAGTGTCTGGCCACCGATGAATAAGGCGACTGCTGAGTTCAATATATTTAGAATTTTCAGAAAAGAACCGTATAAGCTTTCTGATACCACTGATTTCCCAAAGGGCTTCTTTTACGCGTTTTAAAGATCTTTTCTTGATCCTATCAATCGTATCCTGATCCTCAAGATTGGAATTTTCTTTACGAATAATGAATGCTGGTATCTGAAGAACGTATCTTGGCACACCACCCACTTCATCACTGAGGTCAAGCATTAAACCTTGTGGTACCCTAGGAAAGACACTTAGTCGACAGGCTTCCAACTCTTCTATTGACCATGGTGGCATACAAAATTCATCCACAGGATTTTTAACAAACTCTCGAAAACTTTTATCTTTGATATCTTCTGATGATGCAGAAACAACTGTTCTTGCTATAACATCCTCAGGAACTTTACCATCCACCAAGTACCAGGCTTTGGAATTGTAATAGAGTTCCTCCGAAAATTCTTCAAAGTCACCAACGAAGAGATCAGAATCCCTGAAACAGTACAATAAATTTTCTTCAACTGGCCGAAAAATGACCGTAGCATCGGTTTTATTGCACAAGAGCCGGATTAATAAATAAATCAAGAAACACGATTTGCCGACACCTGACGTGCCAGATATGAGGAACCTGGGGTCGTATTTCTCATTGTTAACTATGTGATATAGATCCTTGTAAGATTTCCTTACATATAGCACATGTTCCTTAATTACTGCAAGCGGTTTTCTGTCAGGGTGCTGGATTATATTTGTATTAATTGAAGTTAACTCTTCCTGCTCTATTTCCTGTTCCTCCGACATTGTTTCGATATCATCTCGTAAATTATCCGGGAGCGCTTTCCTGAGATTAAGGATCACTTCTAACGTATTTGTAAACAACGGATCTGAATGAGTAAATCAAAGTCGTTAATAGGTTATGCTGGTCCACATAAAATTTCGACAGCTCGCTTATGCCAACTCCTCGGTTACAAAAACTTACTTCCTAATTTTTTTTTCTTAGCGGGTCTACCTGTATCAACAGAAATGAAAAAAAAAATAATAAAAAGGAAAGGAATGATAGCAAGAAAATAGTGCACACGTTAAAAGGTAATGGCGAAAAGCAGCACGTTCACTCGCTTTGAAACTTATTACGAATCACTTACCAGCAACGGGTTGATCTACGATAACGTAAATGTGTTTTTTTTGGTGCGGGTTTGACGATAAGAAAAAGCACAGAATAAGTAAGTATTCGGTATTATTGGCAAATATGATAGAAACAATAGAACTTACCATGTGGAGAGATTATATTCCTCAAATAATTACGTTTATTTTCATCTGCATCAATGTCATCAAGAAAAGATACTGCAGCAGCAACTTTTTCTACATTTTCGGTAAAGTGAGTGAGTAAACTTATTTTTTCGCCTGAAACAAATCCGAGGCGATTGATTTCTCCTTCAAGTCTTGATAGAGGATTGGAATCGAACATGTTATGGGAAACACGGTTATTGGAAGTGTGACAGTATGGTTGCGCAAATCAAATAGAAAAATCCCTTTATTACGTATGATCGGAAATTATAGGAAGTACATAATACTGTATCAATATTCAAGGACACCAAATTGTTAACTGCTTTATTTCACATTGCTTTTAAAGAACTTCTGATTCGTAAATTTAATTAACATAACATTGATTCGTTATAACGTGATATTATTTATGTAAATATATTTGATACTTTCTTTGTCTCCTATGTGCTTGCTAACAGAAAACTATAAAAGTGACGGCTTGTCATTCTAATTAATATTTTATTGGCACTTATACAGAATGAACGAAGTGTATAATTAAAATTTTCAGCATAGACCGTGATACGATATTACAATGAGTTTGCCGTAGTTTTAGTCAATAACTTTTTGGGATCTCGCTTTTATTTTTAAGTAAGCTATGGCTAACTGAACTCTAATCTATTATCAACTAATTCTTGAACTATTTGTTTATACTTGTTTTTTATCTGCAATAATTAAACTGATCCTCAAGTGCTTTCTCAAAATGAAAATATTGAGGAATAACTTGCATCATTTTTTATTAGTTTATTCGACATTGATTATACAGTATATTGATACATATTAATAAAAAATTGATAGATTTTTATTTGTTGAATTGAAGATTTGGAACTCTACTTTTTAAATATTATTCAACTAACAAAGTTTTTTAGAATACTAGTTTTTTATTATTTAATTAATCTTCATAATGTAAAAAAATTTCTTTTGAAACTTGTTTCTTCCTTATTAAATTAGTTTATTAACAGATTTACTAATATGCTTTTTCTAAACTATACTATTAAATATTAACAAGTATTAAATAATGCAAAATTATATTTATAGATCAGTAATGCTCGAATTTCAAAATAAATACAATTATAGCTTCTATATTTTTCTTATATTTAAGTCTTTGACGTATTGAATATCTATTGATATAATTTTCATATAATTATAATAATATACATAATCACAATGTATAATAATCAAAGTTTTTATTTTATACAAAATAGTTCTTAATAATATAAAAAGCATAAGTATCGTTCCAAAATATTATTTTTTGCAATTTTTTGAAAGTAAAATTTATAATATATTGTAATACCAAGAATTTAAGAGATAATAATTAGTAAGCATAATAATATTTAATAAAATATTCTTATATATATATTACTTTTTTTATATAACATACTTCCATTGTATATGTAACAAGAATTAATATTATATTTAAAATAGTGCTTTATATATAAATTTCTACCATATAAAGAGAATTAAATTTAATTGAAAAAATTCTTTTCTACACACATTCCTTTCTATAGAAAATTGTCTTTTAGAAAGTTTATCTTTTCAGGAAACCTTTAATTAGTGAAATATGGTTTGGAGAGGAATATAAACTGGAGAACTACTTAAAAGAAACATTTTTATGCATATTTCTTAAAGGTTAGTACCAGAAATAGTAATTATCAATATCTTGAAATAACAAAACAAATAAAAAAATAATTCTTTTTTTATAACAAAAGCTCTCTTACATCAACAATACTATATATATTATACTTATTACTCAAACATATCCATAAACATATAACCAACAACTATTTCAAGAGACAGTATTTTATTTTTTAGGATTTTTATTCTTTTCTAATTTTTGTAGTTTTACTCTATAATTTAAACATATTAATCAATTTTCAACTCTTGTTAAAAATTTTTCATTTTAAAATTCAACTTTATCAATAAATTTACAATATACAAAATACCAATTGTATACTGTCCTATTCAATTACATCAAATACAATACAATTATTTATCAGATTGAGATAGTATGTACTGATCAGTACCTTGTACTAGTTTTGATATATCATTCAACAAAAAACAAACAATTGAATAAGTTTCAGTTGTTTAACTTACCAATTTACTATTATCTTTCAAATATGATATTTCTTTAAACCATATAATAATAGCAATCTTTTCAAATAATAAAAATGCTATCAATTATACTTCTAAATGCCATTAGTTTGATTTTTTTTACAAGATTTTTATATATTGAATTAATTTTTTTTCTAAATAATAAAACAAGTTAATTATTTTATATTATTTTTGCTAGGATATTTTTTTTAATTATTTTCTTTTTTTTTAAGTAAATGATTTCTTTTTTTTTATTTTATCCAAGATTTTTTAAAAATATATCTACTACAATAAGTAGTAAACTAATATGTAATATATATAGTGTGTTACAAAAGTTTTTAGACTAATATTTTTTAATAATTTATTAAAAAATATTTAATTTATTAAAAAATATTATTCCAAAAACTTTTGTAACAAATTGTATATATTGTATTTCATATCTTATTATTAATTATATAACATATAATCTTGTTAATTTATTAATAACAATTACAAGATATAACTTACTTAATACAGAGAATCTTCCTTAAATGTACCCTCCATAAATGCATTCCTTCTTTTAATACACCTTAAAGTATAGTCCCAAGTTAGGGATATAATATTAAATGCACCCTCTATATTCTACACGTGCCTTAAATTTTGTAAATTATTTATATATTTTTTATCTAGAAATGCATTACATCTTATTTAAAGTAAAATGTCCATAGAATTTCAAATGATATCACTAATTTGGAGTGAAGTAACTTGAAATCTAAGTTTTAAATCTTTTTTGTAATTCTAAGTAACTATTTGTGGAAAGACTAAATAAACATTTTTGTTAAGGTCTCAAAAATGACTAGTATAATAATATTTTGAGTAATTTTACTTATTATATTACAGATAAGAATTTTCTTTGATGATTTTCCCAAGTATAACAAAAATAATTATTTAGTTATTTCTTGTGTAAAATAAATGAATCACATATAAATAATTACAGTAAAGCAATCAATAATTGATCAAAATATTATAAAAAGGTTTCATTTTTCTCATTTTGCTCTCCTAAGGCAGTAACAATATAAATAAAATTATACTTTTTCTATAAATGCACACCTTCTTTTAATGCACCTTAGTGTTGATCCCAAGAGGAGTGCATTTATAGAAGGTTCTCTGTATATTAAAAAAAGATAATAAAATTTATAATAATTGATTAATATACAGTATATATTTTAAATCTAAACTAAAAATAAAATAAATTATAAGAAATAATTGATATACAGTATATTAATTAATAATCTTAATTGTAATTTGTTTCTTTTTTACTATTTAAATTTATTAATAACTTTTATTATTACAAAAGTTTATGGACAACTTTTTTTTTTTAAATAGAATTTAATTTAAAAACTAATTAATTTTTTAATGTAACGAGACTCAATATGTAATCACAAGTT